CAAGAAGAAACGCAAGCCGGCATCTGGCGGTCCCGCTTTACGCAAACTGGTCGTCGACGACCCAGACGCCTCGGCAATGATGTTTGCGCGTGTTAACAACGCCAACACGCGCCTTCCTGAGCAGCTGAGGAGACCGAGGTCTTATGGCGCGATGGCGCTGCGTGGCACCAAGGTCTCTCCTGTTTACTTCTCCTTACTTTTTTCGTGTCGAATTCTGGCTAAGTGTTTAACATATATTATTCTTTGCAGTTCGTAGCGGCTATCAACGAGCTGATGGTCGAATACGAGGCGGACCTGTCTAAGGTCGAACGTCGTTTGGATGAAGCTCGGAAAAAGCCGCGGCAGCAAAAGGAAAACTAGACATGGCGATGACAAGGGTAAAGAAGCTGGAAGAGGAGAAGATAGCTCTTCGTGCTGACGTCGACAAGGTATCCGCCTCGGTCATTCACCTCGAGGAGGCCAGGAGAGCCAAAAGCGCTGAGGTAGTGTTGCTTAAGAGGCATATCGAGGCCAAGGATGCCTTGTTTGACGCTAAGGTCAAGCGTGCGAAGAAAGAAGCGAGGCGAGAGTTGACGGCTAAGTTTCAGGAACGCCTTGCCAAGGTGGAGGAAGGTCTAGCCAAGCTCGAGAAGGCCAAAACTGACGAGAACGAGCTGGGGCAGATCAAGGGCAATCTCGCTATGATCGACGACCTGAGGAAACGGACGGCCCGATACTCGACGACGAAGAGGCGAAGCTAAAAGGTTAGGAGAGCGAATATGTCGATGACGAGGCGTATGAGCGCATCGCATCAGAGATCCGAGGTGAGCTAGTATTCTCGCCCGTGTCGCCAGACTCTGTAGCCACCGGCCTGGGTAACGAGCCGATCGAAGAGACAGCGGCTAACCTAGGTGTTGTAGATTGGACCGGATCAAATGCGGGTACGCCGGCCCTTTCGAACCTCCTCGCTGAGCGGGAAACGCAGTCCGCAGCTTGACTTTTTCCTTCTTTCCTTGTCTTTTACTTCACGCTTTTGTACTAAAGGCCTGGGTGGCTTTATCCATTTTTCGAACTCTCGTGTTTATGGAATTGGTGCCTGCACGGCTTTATCCACTTGACTATTGTTTTTTTTTGAAAAGAAAGAAAAAAAAGAGGCTAGAGGTTACAAAAGAAAAAGAGCTGAGTAAAGTTTGAACTCCAAGACTTGAGAGTGAAAATGAAAAGTAAGTCCCCTAGTGAGAGGAATATAAGTGTGAGAAGTGAGGTTCTTGAGAGAGTGAGCAAGTGAGAAAGCTTTGAGTAGAGTGTGGGGTGTGATGAGTCTTGCCCTTGTATGCATAGGTTGCTTTTTACCTTTTGCATTCTGCCAAAGTTTGATCATTCATAGAGAGATTCCTTTGCTGCATTAAACCCGCTTGAACACTAATGAGATCTTTTTAGTCTCATAGCCTCTCCCTAGCCAAGCCAGCTTGTTTAAACATTGCATCATTAGATTCACCAGATGAAAACTTAATGAATGTGAAAGAGTTGAGAGAGAAAAGAACTTGTGGAGATTCCTTGTTGAGTTGATAAATATCTGAGTATGGCTTTGCATTGCATAATTGAGCATGAACTTGAATTCTCTCATTAAGGAATATGAACTCCCAATGCATCCAACCTCTTTCTCTCATTTGCTCTTTTTGCTTGAGGACAAGCAAAGGACAAGTGTGGGGGAGTTGATATGTTCATTATTTGCATCATTTAGCTTGTATATTTCATTCCAAATCATATCTTATTCCATGCATTTTAGGTTGTTAGGGTTTGTTTTAGGACTTAGAAGATGCATTAGGTCCCAATGAGTCTTTGCATGTTTTGAGTGTTTATCAGGTGTATTTGGAGCTATTTGGAGTTGAAAAGATGAATCCAGGAAGAGAAATGGTGATCAAGGCTTGAAAGATGGTGAAAATGGGTTTTGGAGGTTCTCGGCCATTCTCGCGCCTGCAGGTAGGTTTTTCTCGGCCATTCTCATGTACCGCGGGTGGATTCCTCGGCCAAAACACGTACCGGCTTAATGAATTCCTCGGCCAAAATTTCCGGGTGCAGACACATTTCCGAAATCGCCTGTCCGGGGAACCTTTCGGTCCGATTCAGATGTCGGGTGCTTCATCAATGTTGGAGAAGATTGGATCATGGTTCCATAGCAAGTGAAATCACAGGATTCGGAGGCGTGAGCAGAAAGTTAAGCTCGTCGGAAGAAACTCCTGTCTCGCTGCCGTTTTGGACCGACCCGATGAGCTCCGAAGAATGCGAAGAACGGTGCACTTCCAGACCAATTCAGTTTACAGAGCCTTCATCAGAATCCGAGATATTTGAGTCCTCTTTCCAGAACGTCCGAGATCATTTAATTCTGAGTAATGAGCAACGAGATAACGTTTCCGGAATGGACACATGTCTAGAAGCCTCTTTCTGATCGTGTCAATGCACTGCGAAGATGAGCCCTCCAGGAAACCTTCCACTTCCCAAGCACCGAAGGTCCCTTCATGAAAGTTGAAGATGTCTGAGTCCTCTATCCACTGAAACTGGAATCACGCCATTCGGACCAGTACCCTAGAAGTTGTGCTTCCTTGAACGCGAAGTGGTCCGAGGAGTTCTGAACGATGCGAGATTGATAACCCCTATCTTGGCATTGAAATTATGCTAAGGGAAAGATGGCACGGTGGAATGCCACGGTCCACATCTTACCGTGGCACTTGATTGCAGTTCTTCAGGGTTTGACACGATCTTCATGCCACGGCCTACACTTGACCGTGGCAAGGTAACATTTGGCCGCGGAAGGACTTTACTCACATTCGGCATTTAACATGGTCTCCATGCCACGGCTTAGGACTTGGCCGTGGAAACTTTGTGCAATTTTTTGGCATTTGACACGGTCTCCATGCTACGGCTTAGGACTTGGCCGTGGCAACTTTGTGCAATCTTTCGGCGTTTGACGCGGCCATACATCACGATCAGAGGAGACCCGTGGCACCATGATTCACCCAAGAACAAGAGATACAGGATTTGACACGGTCACTTGCCACGGCCTGACCAAAACCTGCTAGACCGTGGCAAACTCCTTCTTTACCCACCAAAGCCGGGTCAGTACCCGGTTTGTTCCGGGCTGACCCGGTTCGTCCAAGGCTTCTATAAATACTTTTTAGACCTAATTTGGAGAGAACTCTTATCCTATCTTCAGTCTCCTTTTCCTTTTTGGTGAAAGAACCACTTGTTAATACCTTGCTTTTGAGTTTAATATCGATTTGAAGAGTGTTTTCCATCTTGTTCTATCATTTCTCATCATCAAATCACACTTCTAATCATGATTAACAACACATCTTGCAAAGGATCTAGTGTCTTGATCATGATTAGTGAGTGATCCCATAATAAGGCCTTAGATATGTAGATTAGGGTGGTTAAGTGGTAGATTAGTGAGCTTAGGGGTTAGATCATGCATATTCCATTCTCTACAACCTGTTCTTAATGCTAGATCCATACAAATCATATGTGGTCTAGATTCTGGACATTTCATGCACCAAAAGTGTTTGATGAAATGTCTGAACCAAGGTTGTTAGAGGTTTAAGTGTTATTCGTCATGAGAATGATTGTCTATATGCTTAAATGACAGATTAAACTGATTCTTAATGGTTGTTAATTCATGTTTCACTAATGATGATTAGGTTAGAAACTGTTTTTGCATAGGAGTCAATACCTTCATGAGAGGATTAACTTAATTAATGATGTTTAAGTTGAATGGTTTGCTTGATCATATGGTTCATTAGCTCACTAGTTTATCACTGAAGGACCTTTCTCATCATCATACATACATTCTCATCTCATTTAGCTCATTTACTTGCTTGTTTAAGTTGATCATTAGCTTTAATCCTTGTTTTTCCATTCTTAGTTGTCATTAATCATCAAAACTTCCCTCATTTGGCTTGAATTAAGAACTGATACTGTATCTAAGTGTCTACACATGATGGATTGATACCCTTTGTAATGCAAAGTGACAAAAAGGTATTGATAACCCCTCATTTAGAGCCTTGAAAACTCTAAGTTATCACGATGTAGTCTCGACTTACAGTCTCGTGTGCGATGACGAACCGTGGTGACCGATACGTTTTTGGTCTGAAATTTGTATAACGCGCTTGATTTTAATCCATAGAGGATGTGACTTGCACCCTCGTCCTAGTAAAGGTGGTAAAAAGTCTATTTAGAGAACTTTGTGACTGTTGCCTCGTTGTGGCCAGCAACGAGGCGAATTGTTTGGAACTATAGATCAGAAGGTTCGCTGAAGTGAATGCAAGGACACGTAAAGGTCTAGGAGAAGTATACATAAGTGATGAATGAAAACTAGCCGAAGTGACACTGAACGAATTAAAAATCCGAGGTGAACATAAAACAACTAGCTGGTTTAAAACGAATGAAGACCTTAGAGATAGTAGACTCGACGAGCTAAAATTTTAAAGTTAATGGAGGTATGTGTATACGTACCCACTCCCCCCCCTTTTTAGGAGGGGGGACAGCTGAACCCGTCTGAGGACGGGCTGCCTATGTACCCTTTGAAGGGATCAAGCCGTCCCGTAGTTCATGTTGATCGTATTGTCGCCTTAGTGATAATACTTCTTTAGGTGCATTGCGTTCCACGATCTTGGAATAGCTTCGTCAGCTACCGTCGCAAGTTCATAGACTCCTGGGCAAACTACTTTTTTAATCTTGTAAGGACCTTCCCAATTTGCTCCGAGCTTTCCTGCATTCCTCTCGGCAGTGTTTTGGAACACTTTTCGAAGAACGAGCTCTCCTTCTTTAAGTCTTCGACTTCGGACGTTTTTGTTGTAGTATCTCGCCGTTGCTTGTTGGTAGTTCTGGATTCGGATTAGAGCCTGGTCGCGCCTTTCGTTGACCAGGTCGAGTTCGTCCAGCATCATTAAGTGATTCAAGTCCTCTTGTCCTGGCAGAAGTCTTCGTCGAATCCCTGGGAAATCCATTGCACTCCGTTCCATAGACTAGAGCAAACGGAGTTTCTCCAGTGGCTCGGCGCGGAGTTGTCCGGTGCAACCAAAGGACTCCTTCGAGTTCGTCTGCCCATCGCCCTTTCTTAACGTCGAGCCTCTTTTTAGACCGTCTAGGATCGTTTTGTTGGCTGCTTCGACTTGTCCATTCCCTTGGGGATATCTTGGCGTAGATTTGCTCAGACGAATTTTCCATTTCTCGCAGAAAGCTTCAAAGCGAGTTGAGATAAACTGGGATCCGTTATCGGTGACTATTTCGTAGGGGACCCCGTGTCGGCAGATGATATTTTTCCAGATGAAGTGTTCGACTTGAGCGTCCTTTATGCTCGCGTAAGAATCAGCCTCGACCCATTTAGAAAAATAATCCGTGAGGACGAGCAGAAAGCGCTTCTGCTTTAATCGATGTAGAGGCCCGACTATATCCATTGACCATCTCATGAAGGGATAAGGTGACGAAATCGACGATAGCAGCTCGGTAGGTTGGTGGATTGTAGGCGTGTGCCGTTGATACTTCTCGTACTTCGCCGTAAACTTCTCGCAGTCCTTAACCATCGTAGGCCAGAAGTAATCGTGCTGTTTTATCTTGATCGCAAGTGACCTTCCGCTAGAATGATTTCCGCACGCGCCGCTGTGCACCTCGTGCATTATATTTCTTGCCTCCGGTCCCTCGACACATGTCATGAGCGGTCCTGAAAATCTCCATTTAAATACTCACCATCGACGAGGACGTATCGCACGGCCTGAGCCATTAATTTGCAGGTTCCCACTTGTCGGATGGTACTTCTCCATTGGCGATATATACTCAGATGGCTCCGAGCCATTCTTTGTCGCAGCCGTACTCCTGATCGGCTAGTGAGGCGTCTTCGTCCATAGCGATTGCTTCGCCGTTTTCTGGTTCCTCATCGGGAGGGTTTATCAGCCGAACTCCTTCTACCTCTTCTATGCTCGGACGTTCGATGGATTCGACTGGAATTGTTCCACGGAGATCCGGGTCTGAAGTTGAAGCAAGTGCTGCTAAGGCGTCCGCCGAGGTTGTTTTCACCTCGGGGTATTCATGTGAGTTCGAACTCGTCGAACTTTTGCACCAAATCTCGGACCACTCTAAGGTAAGCTCCCATTCGTCCATCCTTCGCCTCATACTCTCCGTTGAATTGACATGCTACGAGTTGTGAATCGCAAAAGGCTCTTATCTTTTGAGCTCTGATTCCCTGCGCTAGTCGTATGCCAGCGATCAGTGCTTCGTATTCTGCTTCGTTGTTCGAGGCGTGGAAGTTCAGGTGAAAAGACTGCTCCAATATTTCCCCTGTGGGAGAGGTGAGACGGATTCCTATTCCCGAGCCGTGTCTAGACGATGAGCCGTCGACGTGCAGACTTCGTCTAGGGTTGGCTCGGTCGTCGCCTCGGTCAGAAGTTTGATGAGAAAATCTGCGAGCACCTGTGATTTCGCAGATGACCTGTTCCGATACTCGATGTCGTACTCGCTCAACTCTATGGCCCATTTAGTGAGCCGCCCAGATTGGCTCGGGCTGTGCAGGATCGAGCGCAGCGGAAGGGTAGCGAGCACAATAATCAAATGTGATTGAAAGTATGGACGCAGCTTGCGAGCCGATACTACAACGGCTAGGGCGACCTTCTCGATCTGGGGGTAACGGGTCTCGGTATCAGTCAGTGTTTGACTGACGTAAAAGATGGGTTTCTGCTCGGATCGCTCTTCTCTTATCAGCACCCCACTCACGGCCGTAGCAGATACAGCGATGTAGAGGAAGAGAGACTCTCCTTCATCTGGTTTTGCCTGGACCGGCGTGCTCGCCAGATAACTCTTCAACTCCTGAAAAGCTGCTTTGCATCGCTCGTCCCACTCGAACTTCTTATTTCCTCGAAGGATATCGTAGAAAGGCAGGCACTTGTCGGTAGAACGGGAAATGAATCTGTTTAGCGCAGCGACTCTTCCTATGAGCCTTTGAACTTCTCGCTTCGTTCTTGGAGAGGGCATCTCGATTAATGCCTTGATCTGCTTGGGATTCGCTTCAATGCCCCGGTGAGTCACCAAGTAGCCGAGGAACTCTCCCGAGGTTACCGCTCGAAGCATTCTCGTAGGTGCGCGATATGGTCTTTTTCCTCGAGCGATTTGACCAACATATCGTCGATATATACCTCCATAGTTTTTCCGAGCTAATCTGAGAACATTTTATTGACGAGCCGTTTATATGTTGCCCATGCGTTCTTGAGTCCGAATGGCATGACTTTGTAGCATTATATCCCACGATCGGTTATGAATGCCGTTTTCTCCCGGTCATCAAGATGCATCAGGATTTGGTTGTAACCGGAAAACGCGTCCATAAACGTTAACAACCTGTTTCCCGCAGTGGCCTTGACGAGCCGGTCGATGTGCGGTAAAGGGAAACTGTCTTTTGGGCACGCCTTATTGAGATCAGTGAAGTCTACACAGACCCGCCACTTGACGTTCTTCTTCTTCACAACCACTGCATTTGCATGCCAGTCCGCGTATTTTACCTCGGCAATTGATCCTACTTTGAGCAATCTTTCCACTTCATCGTTAACTGCCTTAGCTCGTTCGGGTCCGAGCTTCCTCCTTTTTTGCTTGATTGGTTTGAAGGTTGGGTCCACGTTCAGCTCGTGACAGGTCACGTCGATGCTTATGCTTGGCATGTCCTCCGCTGTCCAGGCAAAAGTGTTGACATTCTCTTTGAGGAGGGAAAGAAGTTCGCTTCTCAGAGGTTCTTCTAGCTTAGTTCCGATTTTGACGCGTTTTTCTGGATACGCTTCGTCTATGCACACCGAGTCCACCGCATCAAATACCGGCTCGGTGCGCGTTTCACGGCTCTCCGCGATCTGTAATTGCTATAAGAGCTTCGAGAGCTTGTTCACAGGCTCTCGGTCCGTCTTCAGCTTTTTGCGATCTACGTCTGCTCGTGCATCGGTGACGGGGTTCCTCAACTTGTGCTTTGTCAAGAAACATGTTCGTAACTCCTTCTGGTTTCCCCAAATCGTTTTAATGCCTGATGGAGTTGGGAATTTGAGGCAGAGGTGATAGGTGGATGATAACTAAGAGTTTTCCAGGCTCTTTGTAGAGGTTATCAATCCCCTGTCTTGTAGTACAAGGGGTTTATCAATCCATATGTGGTGTTAGACACGAAACTATGTGATCAAATTCTTAATTCAAGCAAAAAGGAGTGGTTTCGATTTACTAATGACAACTACAAACTTAAAAACAGGATTAAAGACTAAAGAAGAACTAAACAATGACAAGTTATATGAATATGATATGATCGAGGCATGAGATTCTAGACATGATAGTTGGTTAGGGTGCTTTGGTGCTAAACTAGGAATGCTAATGACAATTATGAGACATGATTCAAATGATTAAGAACTCTAATGTAGGTTAATCCTCTCATGAAGGTATTAACCCCTATACTAATCCATTTTCAAACCAAATCATCATTTCTGAAATATGAATCAGTATGCATTAATAAACAGTTTTAAATGATCATTCAAGCAAATAACAATACATCATCATGCAGCAAATGCATAAACCTCTAATACAGCTCTTTCAGGAATTTCATCAAACACTTTTGGTGCATGAAATTCCCAGAATCTAGATCTCAAGTGATATGCAAGGATCTAGCATAGGGAACAGCTGTTTAGAGAGATGAATCAATGAATCTACCCCTAAGCACTCCTAATATAACACTTTAGCACCCTAACCTACATATCTAGAACCTCATTAAGGTGACTACTCACTAATCATACTAATCTCTCTTAAACCTTTGCAAGTTGAGAAGATTGGCATGATTAATGATGAGAAATGGAGATGGATAAGAAAACAGCTTTAAACACAAAGATCTCTTAAAACTCTTGATTAAACACTCAAAAATCAATATTTCTCTTCTTAGTGGAGTCTTTTCACAAAAGAGGCAAGAGACAAAGGGGAATAAAGCTTCGTTTTTTTGGGAAAAAACCCTAAAAGCCCGGAACAAACCGGGTCCTGACCCGGCTTTAGTGGATAAAGTGGAAAGTGTGCGAGTTGGTCCAATGTCTCCCAGGTCGCTTGACCAAGTCGCACAGGTAAAGAACTTATCTTGTGAGACTTAAATCGCTTGGTTAGCCGCACGCCCAAGTAGATGTGTTTTGCGAGTCTTTGTGCGGCTTAATCTTCTTCTTCTTCAACTCGCAGGACCAAGGCAGTTTCTGGGGAATGTACATGTGCGACTTGGTGATATGTTCACAATTTGCATCATTTAGGTTGCATAATTCATTCTAAATCATGTTTTATTCCATGCATTTTAGGTCCTTAGGGTTTGTTTTAGAACTTAGGAGACGCATTAGGTCCCAATGAGTCTTTGCATGTTTTGAGTGTTCATCAGGTGCATTTGGAGCTGAAAAGATGAATCCAGGAGGTGGAATGGTGATCAAAGCTTGAAAAGTGGCAAAAATTGGGTCTATGGAGGTTATCGGCCATTCTCGCTGGCCAGGAAGGTTTTGTCGACCATTTTCACGTACCGCGGGTGGACTTTGTCGACCAAAACACGTACCGCGAGTGAAGTGTATCGGCCAAAATCTCCGGGTGCAAACATGTCTCAGAAATCGCCTGTCCGGGGAACCTTCGGATCCGATTCAGATGGCGGGTGCTTCATAGAAGTTGGAGAGCATTGGATCACGGTCTCATAGCAAGTGGAGTCGTGGAATTCGGACGCGTGAGCAGAGAGTTAAGCTCGTCGGAAGGAACCCCTATCTCGCAGGTATTCCGGACCGAGCAGATCAGTTCTGAAGGATACGAAGGACGGTGCACTTCCAGGCCGATTCAGTTTCCGGGTCCTTCATGAGAATCAGAGACATTTGAGTCTTCTTTCCAGAACGTCCAAGAGCATTCAGTTCGGATCTATGAGCAGGAAGATACGGTCTCCGGAATGGACACATGTCTAGACGCCTCTCTCTGGTCGTGTACATGCACTGTAAAGATGTGCCCTCCAGGAAGCCTTACACTTCCCAAGCACCGAAGCTTCCTTCACCAAATTTGGAGATAAATGAGTCCTCTGTCTTCTGCAACCAAAATCATTCAATTCGGACAAGTCTCATAGGAGTTACACTCTCCGGAATGCGAAGTGGTCTAAGCTGCTCTGGATGCTGCGAGATGGTCTTGCGACTTGGTTAACCCGCAGGCCTGAAGATGAACGCCTGAATGCTGATGCTGCGACTTGAAATGTGCGGGTAAACTATCACTGGAAGAGATCTGAAGCTCCCGAGCAAGAGAAATGCTAAGTCCACAATCGTGCGACTTAGGCATGCGAGTTAGCCGCGCCTGGAACTATGCCGCACGATCACTCGCAAATCACTCCGACTTGAGCCTGCGACCTAGGTGCAATAGAGACCAACCCGCACAGTTTGTACATTCCCCAGAAAACGCCTTAGCCCTGCGAGTTGGAGAGGAAGGAGACCAAGCCGCAGCAACACTCACAAAACACTCCTACTTAGGCGTGCGGCTAAGACAAGGCGATTCAGGCTTCACAAGACAAGTCTTCATCTACTGCGACTTAGTTGTGCTACCTGGGACATACTGGACCAACCCGCAGTAATTCCCACTTTATCCATTAAAGCCGGGTAACCCCAAGTCTATGTTGGAGAGA